TGATCCCTGATCCCTGATCCTGATCCCTGATCCCGATCCTGATCCCTGATCCCTGATCCTGATCCCGATCCTGATCCTGATCCCGATCCCTGATCCCGACCCCAATCCCGATCCCGGGCTCTGGGGGTCCTGGTCCTGCCCCGATCCCAATCCCAGGATGATCCCATCCCAGTCCTGGGGTGATCCTGACCCCGATCCCAGAGATCCCAGAGATCCCAGAGATCCCAGAGATCCCAGCGGATCCCGGGGTGATCCCCATCCCAATCCTGGGGTGATCCCAGTCCTGATCCTGATCCCCATCCCAGTCCTGGGGTGATCCTGACCCCGATCCCAGAGATCCCAGGGTGATCCCATCCCAATCCTGTTCCCGTTGCTCTCCCTGTTCCCGTTCCCATTCCCGGTTCCTGGTTCCCGTTCCCGGTCCCCATTCCCAGTTCCCAGTTCCCGTTCCTGGTTCCGTTCCCAGTTCTCGGTTCCCATTCCCGGTCCCCATTCCCAGCTCCCGGTTCCCATTCCCAGTTCCCATTCCCGGTTCCCATTCCCGGTTCCCATTCCCGGTTCCCATTCCCAGTTCCCGTTCCCAGTTCCCGTTCCCAGTTCCCGTTCCCGGTCCCCATTCCCGGTTCCGTTCCCGGTTCCGTTCCCAGTTCCTGGTCCCCATTCCCGGTTCCCGTTCCCGGTTCCGCTCTCACCGGATCAGGACTCCCTTGATCACCTGCCACGCGTTCGGTGCCGGCTGCGGCCCCCGGGGGCTCTCGGCCTCCGCCAGCCCCGAGCTGCCGGAACCGGAACCGGAACCAGAGCCGGAACCGCCGGTGCTGCTGGGGACCTGGGAGAGAGAACAGTCAGAGACCCGGAACCGGAACCGGAACCGGAACCGCCGGTGCTGCTGGGGACCTGGGAGAGAGAACAGTCAGAGACCCGGAACCGGAACCGGAACCGGAACCGCCGGTGCTGCTGGGGACCTGGGAGAGAGAACAGTCAGAGACCCGGAACCGGAACCGGAACCGGAACCGCCGGTGCTGCTGGGGACCTGGGAGAGAGAACAGTCAGAGACCCGGAACCGGAACCGGAACCGGAACCGCCGGTGCTGCTGGGGACCTGGGAGAGAGAACAGTCAGAGACCCGGAACCGGAACCGGAACCGGAACCGCCGGTGCTGCTGGGGACCTGGGAGAGAGAACAGTCAGAGACCCGGAACCGGAACCGGAACCGGAACCGCCGGTGCTGCTGGGGACCTGGGAGACAGAACCGTCATAGAACCGGTACCGGTACCGGAACCAGAACCAAAACCTGCACCCACTGCCGCCGGTACCGCCGGGGACCTGCGGAACGGCCCCGTTACCGAACTGAACAGAACCGGCACCGAACCGGCACCGAACCGGCACCGAACCGGCTCCTGCTGCTGCTCGGTACCCAACAGAACCGAACCGGGTGGCGAACCGGACCGGGCACCGGCACCGAGCACCGAGCCGGTACTGAACCGGCACCGAACCGTTCCCAGCCCTGCCCGGGCAGTGGTACCCCCGGGACGGACCGGACACCGGAACCGGACCGGACACCGCAACCGGACCGGACACCGAACCGGACCGGACACCGAACCGGACCGGACACCGCAACCGGACCGGACACCGGAACCGGACCGGACACCGGAACCGGACCGGACACCGGAACCGGACCGGACACCGGAACCGGACCGGACACCGAACCGGACCGGACACCGGCACCGGCCCGAACCTTTCCCGGTCCCCGGCAGCGCCCTGACCCTCCCCGGTCACCGGATCCTCCCCGGTCCCGGTCCGTCCGGACCTGCCCCGCTCCCCGCTCCCGGTGCCGCTCCCGGGCTCTGCTCCGGGCCCTTCTCCCGCTCCCGGTTCCCGCTCCCGTTCCCTCATCCCTCTCCCGGTTCCCCACCCCCGGCCCCGCTCCCCCTGCCCGTCCCGCGCTCGCAGCCCCGCTCCCGGTTCCCGGTTCCCGGTTCCCGGTTCCCGCAGCCCCGGGGCCGCTCGGGCCGCGCTGTCCCCGCACCTGCCCCGGGCCCGGGCCCGGCCCCGCCGCCGCCTCCGTCCCCGGCGCCGCCATCTTTGCTGCGCCGCCTCTCGCGCCGCTCTCGCGAGACTTCCGGGGAGGGGCGGGAAACTGAGTAAACCACGCCTCTTTTGAGTGACGTCATAAAGACGTTGGCCAATAGCAGCGCGGCCAGCCCCCCGGCGGGAGGGGGCTTTCCCGCCCCGCCCCCTCAGCGGCGCTCAGCCAATGGGAGCGCGCCCCGCCCCCGGAGCGCGCCTCGGGGCGGTGTTTCCCGTTCGTGACGTCACAGGAGCGCTCAACCAATGGCGGCGCGGTGCGCTCCCGGTGGGGGTTTCCCCGACCGCGCCCCCGGCGGTGACGTCACGGCGGTCTCAGCCAATGGCGGCGCGGCCCGCGCGGGGATTTCCAGGTCCGGCGGCGGCGCGGCCTCGGGGGGCGGCGGCGGGAGCGGCACCGGCGGCTCCGGGACCACCGGGAGCGGCACCGGAACTACCGGGACCCGCACCGGGAACACCGGGAACGGCTCCGGGACCACCGGGAGCCGCACCGGGAACACCGGGACCCGAACCGGGAACAGCGGGAGCGGCTCCGGGACCACCGGGAGCGGCACCGGGACCACCGGGACCCGAACCGGGAACAGCGGGAGCGGCACCGGGACCACCGGGACATGGCGCTGCCGCTCGGTGAGCGCGGCCCCGCTGGCTCCGGGACCCGCCCCGGGGGGAGCGGAACCGGGGATCCCCCCCCGTGACCGAACCGGGAGCTCCCGGGGGGGTAACGGGAGGAGGATCCCGGGGAGGCGGCGGGGCGGTCCCGGGGCGCTCCCGGTGCTGATCCCCGGTTCCGGTAGGAGCGGCGGTTCAAGAGCCCGGGCTGGCCTTGGCTCACGGAGCACCGGGAACAGGTAAAGCCCCGCTCCCGGGATCGCTTTTCCCGGTGTTTCCCGGTGTTTTCCCGGTGTTTTCCCGGTGTTTTCCCCTGTTTTTCCCGGGTTTTCCCCATTTTTTCCCGTTTTTCCCGTTTTTCCAGATGATTTGGGTGAGTGCGAGCGGAGGGACCGGGAATCTTCGCCGTTTCCCGGGAATTTTCCGGGATCCCGGAGCCAACAAGAAGAGTTCTGGGATTCCGGGATTTGGGAATTTCGGGAATTCCGGGTCCCATCCCGAGGGGAATCCAGGGGGGAATCGGGCTCGGAGGGGAGCGCTGGGATCTCTCCCAGATTTGGGGATCTGGGCTGGGAATCGCTCCGGGATTTGGGATTTTTCCC